TTTAAAAAAATCAGCCAAAGATTCAAAAATGTGTGTAAACAACTGTTGAAGACTGTAATTTGCATTTTGTCCACAGATGTATAAAAACATTTAGAAAAGCAGACTAAAGCTAGCCACAAAAAGAAGAAAATATGGAATAAAAGTCACAACTCAGTTGATATAGTGATGATTTTGTGTTACGGGAATATAAGGCCAGGTAAAGAATCATAGATAAGCTAAGACAACAAAGCCTTTATTGGTCCCACAGTTGGGAAATTCAAGGATACAATGACACAGTTGACATTTTAGATGCCGAGTAGCAGCAAAATGGAAGTGCAGTGGTTGGATAACAATAGCAGCAAGCACTGAGTATTGCATACTGAGCTATGAGCATATGTCTATTAACATGTTTACTTTTGACAAGAGTGAAGCTTTTTTATTTTTTCTCTACTCTTTCAACATTATTTATCCAGAAAGTTAGTTTATAGCGCTCAAAGCTACCTTTATCATAATGTTTAAATGTCTTGAACACTGGAGGAATAACAACCTTTCCATATTTCACTTACTCAGTGAATCAGTCTTCTTCTTAGGTCTGTGTGGGTGTGTCACCACTGACTGACAGATGTTCCTGACATTCGCTTGTGGATACACAAACAGCTAAAGACACCTTGTAGCACACCTCTAGTATACTTTTGTCAAATGTAAGTATCCTCTGTGCTATCTAAGTGTAACAAAACCGCTTAACACCAATTTAACAATAACTAAACTTAAGTAACACTGAAACTGGGATGTTGTATAATGGGTCGTGTTTTTTATCCGGTTATTTAAATATGTATGCAGACACAGAAACTGCAACGCCAATATTAGACTGAAAAATGTTGCCTGCGTCTGAACTGTTGCGCAAACAGCAGACTGTTATCCACCTTTAACCTGAGAACACAAACATAGCAGAATGGTTTTATGAACTGAAACGGCGATGCATTGAAACGTTGTCATGATAGCCCATCCTGCACCTTTAGCAGCTCATTTACTGCGGACACTGCGTTTACAATACACTTGAGCTTGATTTAAAGCTGACTCCTGACACCATGATCCAAACGAGAAAACAAGTTCTACAAAATAGAAACTATAACAGATCTGAATGTACTGAACTGAAAACAGCTATTTATACCATTGTCACACTGTCTGGTTTGGTTTTGTTTTTTTGTTTTTTTTTTGGGGGGGGGGTTATCCTCAGTTCGCTGGCAAGTTTCCGTTTGTAAAGATTGACAAACGTAAATTACACGGGGCTAAAAAGAGCAGCTCAGGAGTTTAGCTTTAATTCAAAATTCAGTACACTGTTGAGATTACATATTATGGTGCTTTTACATAAATCATAAACCTTTTAAAATCCCTCTGTTTACCAATGTAGGCATGTTTACAAAGCGTAAAGCTTCTCAGGTGCACATTCTCCAGCCTGCTGATGCGTTTGTGGTTCCTGAGCATGAAAAACCGGAGCCGTCTGAGCTCTTGTGAGTTTACTGTTGACAGTATAAACCATCTCTTGTGATGCAAATGGCCTCCTTTGTTGTGGCCGACAGGACATTACACAGCTGATAACAGCAGTTCCAGCTCCTACGCTCAGTGAATAGCAAAGTGTGTGTGTGTACCTCGCAGCGTCCAGCCTTATCACCCTGACACTCTGATCACCTCCTGCTCTGTTCTTATCTGTGCTTCCTGCTAAATTAACGCCCAGCGGCGCACATTGACAACACCAGACACCAAAATGCTGCTAAACCGATTGTACATGGGAAGGCTGTTGTTTCATATTAGTGAGCAGTTATAGCAGTAGATACATGCAGTGAGGCATGTGGTAAACACACGATGGCTGTGCTTGGTTCCTCATATTGAAGAGGTACTTTAAGGTTATATCTGGTATACAGGATTGTTACAGGACTACAACTACAGCCAAATAACCAAAAACAGACTTTCCTGGGTGCTTATTTTACCTGTAAAATATTACAGGTACTATTAAATATCCTGCACCACAGCTCCACGGAGATGATAAACAGAAGCTGATTCCAAAGACACCACCTGGTCAGCTGAATGAAAATCTGCTTAGCACTTTGATGTGAGCCAAAAGTTGCTGGTTTTTATATAATGCTTTCATTAAATGACTCATTATACTGCACATTTTGTAAAGTTGGTCTCAGATCACACCTGTAGGCTGACTGCAGTATTAGTCATAAACCTTGCTGCTCCATCTTAGTGGGTGGTACTCAAATGCCAACCTATGGCGGTGGAAAAATTAGTGAAATAAGCAAAATTCCAGTTTTTATGAATCAGCATCCTCACAAGACCAGCAAGTCGCTCTGTCACTGGCAGTTAGCTGCTAGCAGGCGTTCAACCTCCAGCACATTACTTACACTAATGAGCAGGTAATAGTATGATAAAGTAGAAGAGGTCATCTACAAATCAGAAGGTTGGTGGTTTGATCCCTGGCTGCTCCTGTTTGCATGCCAAAGATATTGAACTATGAGTTAGTCCTGACATGCTGATTAAAATGTGAATGTTAGGCTAGGAAGCATTTAGGCATATAAAAAATGATTGTGTTATTGAGGCTTGGGTATAAAGTTACTGCTATAACTTTAATTTGGAATGTGATAACTAGCAAGCTGAGAGACCTTCCATCTACTGAAGAAAGAAACAAACAAACAAAAAGGTAAAAATATAAATGATTTGACGAATCACCTAAAGTAACTTTTCTTTCCTTTAAAAGTTCTACATTACTGACCTGTAGATATTAGCATAATAAACACATTTCCCAGCAAACAATATTTATAGCTGGATCAGATAAAAATGCCTCCGTGCTTTGTGTCAGCATTGGTTTAAGCGTTGCTTTCTGACATGAACATGCGAATAATAACAACAACACAATAACACAGCAACAATCTGACAGCGACCGCAGTCAAACTTTCTTGTCAATCCGTGCCAGAAGATGGATTTTTTGTTGCAGCGCTGAGGCATTATGGCCCATTATTGGCGTCTGGATGCGACAAAATCAGCAGCTCTGGATTTGCTCTGTTATCTGCCGGTGACAGACAGCTGTGGTGACCCTGCAGTCTGACCGCGGTGAGCAAAGGGCTGAGCCGCTGCAGAGCTCTTTATCTGCCTGACCCCGTCCCAGCCAGTAATGGAGGGGGGGGGGGGGGGGGGGGGGGGGGGGGGGGGGGGGGTGGGGGGGGCGTGGAGCCTGGACTCAATGAGCACAAGGAAATCTGTGTTGGTGTGGAGGGGGGTGGACATTTGGGCAGGGCTGATAAGGGGGGCCCCTCGCAGGCCGAAACTGACCCATCTTTCACCCTCTAAATGTGTTGCCGCCTCACCATTAGTCCAGTAGACACTAACTGCCTCATTAGTCAACTCATTAGTGACAGCAAACACAGATCGCTGCAGCAGATCCTGACGGGGGAAACAGTGGAGTGGCTAATTAAAGGGGGCCGGCTCTGGCCCCGCTGAATGCCAGGCCTCAGACAGCTGCGTGCGCCTGCCCCGGCACCGCCGCAGTGCCAGCCTCACCAGCTCTATGAGCGCTGAGAGATCTCGCTCTCTCAAAACAACAACCCTGGTTGCCTGGCAGCTATCAGCTGGCTCTGAATCAGCAGCCCTCTGCTTCTTATTATTTGCTGGAGCAGTTAATCTCAGGGAGCGAGGACAGAGGCAAACAGAAGACGCCTGAGCTGAAGTCAAGTGACATTTCCAGAGGTTTGGATTCCTGGCATGAAAGGCGATAAAGAAATGAAACAGAAGCTCGAGTGAGAGGCTCTGGGCTACTCGGGCACCTAAACACGTTTCATTCTAACATCTGCCAGATCTCTATTACAGCACCTGGATCCTCACCGTGTTCTTCTTCTTTGCCACATGCAGTGTGACCTGTTTGTGCTTATAGCAGACATCATTGTCTGCAGACAGTTACTGATTCAGAAACATGAGGTGCATGTTTAAGTGTTTGTACTACAGGTTGCGCCACTTGATGATTCTGAGTGCCATTTACACAGACTTTCATTATTAGACATATATGGAGACATCCACTGCGACCTATTTTGAATATGTAATCTTAAACACAAATTAATTTTAGCAGTTTAATCAATGCCATAAGAGCAACTTTAAAAGTTCAATCAATTTTTATTAAACATGAGTAAACATGATAAATTTATCAGGAACTACTTTTAGAAGTGGATTAATCTATATTTGATCTTGTGAGTATTTGGGGCAACCGGCTGGTGTGTATGGTCAGATTGAATATGACTATAATGATTCATGAAGGAATATGTCATATGTTGGTGGCAACAGTGGCACTCTATGGCACAAAGGAACAATATTGTATACATCGGGCTACACTTGTACGTGGCACATTTACATCCGCCTGTTCACCACAAACTACCCGACAGACAGAAACTCTTGGGAGCACTTTGAGTGTATAGGTGAGATTCTGAGCAGCTAATGAAGCTGTTTGCCGTGTGCAGCAGAGCTGTGTGCTCTGTGCTTGATGGGGACTTGGAAATGATAAGGTACATACATAATGCACAGATGGTGAGAGGTTTCTGTGAGAGGCTTAATAAGGGCTTGAGCAAATTTTTGCCCCGGGACACCAAACAGCTAATCGGATCAGAGTGAAATAGGAAAAACGCTGTCACTCCTGCCACAAATTTAGAAAGTACAGCCGCAATCAATCCTGGAGTTAGTTCAGAGGCAGACTCACCAGGAACAAAGCACCTCGAGGAAAGCTAAACCTGTGTCCGAAGCTCCCACCAGCACAATCCGGGTATTAATGGTGACCTTTGGCTCCATGGTCAACTTTCTGCTGACGAGGCTGAGAGCAAACGGTGCCTAAGAGAAACAAAGAGAGGAGACGGTCTGTCACGTTTACCCCCATCTGGAGGCGACACATCACTCCCAGAACGACTGACACCATTTTCAGGAAATTAAATAAATGCAGCAAATGTACTTATCATTACATAATGACCTGTCCAATTTCTCCCATTCACAGCTCAGCAGATTTCATCGGGGCGCCTCATCAGCCTGCAAGCTTTCAGATTTTCTCTTTATACTCTGTGACATTCAAGCGCGACTCGTGCTGAATCTTAGGCCCTAAACGTCTGCGCTGTGTGAAACTTAATGGACACGCCATCAATCATGCTTTTCACCAGTTTTCAAAAAAGTTCACAAGCGTTTGAGCAGAAACGGCTCAAAGCAAAGGGATTTTCTTGCGTAAAACTTTTTATACATCTTTTTTCAAGGGAAGAAGAATTTTAATGAGCTGACACGCAATCTGCCAAAATATGCAGAGTCCTGCCTCCCTGCATAAGCGTATAATTACAAGTAGCATGAATAACATTTCGTGCAAAGCACATTTAATTTTAGCCAAAACGGAAAGCCCGCTGGGATGGGAAGGGATCAAATGTGTGACCTGAGAGTTAAGGAACCCTTTTCTCCAACAATCACAAAAGCGTCCCACAGGAATTGGTCGAACACGCCGTTCCAATTTCCCAATTCTCCAAGGCCAATCGTCTCTCTCGCCTCCTCTCACTGTGATCTGAGGCAGCTAATGTCGCCTTCATTTTCTATAATTAAACAGATTGGCCCCACAATGCACCTTATTGAATGAAAACAACACTGAGCAAAAAAAAAAAAAGTAAAAGAAAAAAAGTGTGCGTGTGCGTGTGCGCGTGTGTGTGTGTGAGTGCGTGTGTGTGGTGTGGGGGGGGGGGGGGCCATGGGTGGAATTAACCTTTGTGTGATATTTAAATAAATTTCCACGAGGGCATGTGAGCCCAACATCTGTCACATACACGGAGGTGTTTTGGCACAGGTTTGACTGTGGGAGGAAAACGTAAGAAGCCTTGGTTATTTTATATGATAAATAAGCCACACACTGAAAAATTTGAAGCATCAAAAAATCACAAAAAATTAAACTTTGCAGGTTTGATTTTGAATTGTGTTTGGTAATTTAGTATATACGCCAAGCTTTTGTTTTGAAGCAACATATTTCAGAAAAGGTTGAGAGGTGTGTAATGCTTAAAAACACTTAATGGAACAACTAATTAAGTTAATTAGTAACATGATTGTGAATGGAAAACTATCCCGCAGAAGCTAAACCATGTGTATGCAGCCCTCCGGGTAATTTTAATTTTAGCAATACAATACCAAACCACATTCTGCAATTATTCCAGCTGCACGAGCCTCTGAGTACAGACTATTTATAAAAATGTCTGTGATTACTAAACAATTAATGCCACATTTTGGTCCTCGAATTAAAGCTGAGAGCGTGTACTTTCATGTTATTTGAATATTTTTGTATAGAGAGTTAAAACCTGAAAAATGTGTTCCAAAATAGATGGGTGTAACTGTATTTTCCATTTTTTTCATTTGGTCTTTGTACAGCATGTCGGAAATAGGGTTTCATCTCAGGAACTTATGTAAGCAGTAAAAGTCAATTTGTCTTTATTTTAATTTTGAATGCACAGGCTCATTATTTTTTATTTTTTGCTTGACTGGAGATAAAGTAGCCTTGGAGTCGATATGTGATGTATATTGTGTGATTACTGCAGGTAATACTAGGTTAAATCATGCAGCAACCACTGATGCTGAAAAACAAAATGAATTTCATGCAATAATCTGCAGTTCCACTAACGACCACATGAGGCAAGCTCCAAAGTGAGTCGATCCCCAGACGTCTGGGTTAAAATGATTTACCAGTATTAAAAAAGCATGTTTAAAAACTGGTGCAAAAAGAGTGTTTTGGATAGTTTGATGGATAAAAACTTCCCAGTGGGAATTTTGTCAGAACTGGATACTGGAGTTATGGGTATGGAGGTATGGCTGTTATGACTGATTATATTATATTATTGCAAACTGAGCCTGTGCTTGTTTTGCTGAGTGAAACTCCAGTATTTTACAGGTTTGCTATTTTGCACTAATTATCAGACAGGTGTGCGTTTGTGTGTTACATCCATGTAGTTTATGAATGCAGACTGATAACAAGTTTGTCAGAATTAGATGAACTCCACCCTCTGGTCCAAATACGGTCACTCAAGAAAACCAACATGGGTCCCACATACTACTCCTGAGAAGTTGTCTAAAGCTAATTTAAGCACGTTTTACTACCTGAAAGATGATTAAGAAAAAGTATGAACAGACTGCATTACTGTTCTCTACATTATATTACATTTATAAATATAAACTGGGACATCCTGTTTGAATATGTAAATGAATATGAAATGAGCAGCACACTGGCTTTGAAAAGTCTGTGAAAGCTTTTTGGTGATGACACTGACTTGCCGGTATCATGTGCGCCTTAATTTTGAAGATAAGATCATGTCATGACCGTTTTCTGGTTCATTTAGACTAGCCTTTACCCTGAAGAAAAAAAATCTCATATTATTGTTTGCATGTATATCTTTCTGTTCTATTAACTTTTAAAATAGATAAGACAAACAGTGATTTTTAAGCTGATGTCTCACACAGCTGCTGTAGGTCGACATTTATTGAAACCGAGCTTTACTTTATATGTAAAAACCCTTCATCTGTTATCATATACTGGAAAAATTAAATGCCTAGATGCATCCGTCTGAATACTGCAGGAATTAACCAGATGAGGTAATCAGATGAACAAAGCTCCCGTCTCATCTGCATGTGAGGTGGAGCAGGTGCAGCCGCTCTTATCGCGCTGGAGGTGCCTCACCTTTGCCGCACACAATGACCACGGCACTGCGTAACATGATCCCGTATTGACAGAGAGGGAACAGGTGTTTTAAATTTGATTAGTCATCCCGGGGCCGACATCGGGAGGAGGCTGGGACAAAGATCTCGGAGGCGAAGCTGTTATCAGGCAGCGTGGAAATCATGACTGGCATGGGGCTGGCGGGAGGGGAGGGGGTGATGGAGTGAAATGAACATGTTAGTGTACATGGTGACGCCTCAGGTGGAAAGAGCGCTGCTGAACATGGGGTAAATATTTGAAGTGCAGGATGTTAAAATCAATCAGCCAGGCTTTAAGCCCCAAACATGGTTGACAGCTGAAACCATGCCATTATTCACACAGGCTACTTTCACCTGCTTTTCTCCACCTTTTACTGAAGTCATCTTAAGAAGCTGCACTTCATATTTACAGAAGAAAATATGCCTTAAACAGAGCGACAAACCAAGGTACTAAAACCCAGGCTGTTAGTTTCATTTTCTTTATTCTGTTGCACTTTTTCCCTTTACTTAATCAACTTATAGTGGAAATCAGGCAGCAGGTGACAGCTCAGCATACACTGCACGTGGAAGATGATGCAAGTGTTTTCTCTCACTTTCAAATAATTAATCTCAGCTTTTTATTATCATCAGTGCTGAGCTGACACACAAACAGGTGAGTATTACTCTTCAAAAAGCATCAAAGCTGATCTGAAGGAAAGCGATGGCCTGACACCTGCCTGAAACACTCTGTGCTGGTTTTCCTTTCATTTGTATGTTTAGTTACAAGAACAGACCTGCGACAGATGGTCTGACTCCCCTCAGGGCATGGTCTCAACATCATGGAGTCAGTCTGGGATTACATGAACAGACAGAAGACTGAGACTATAAGACTGAAGCCACAGAAGATGCTGGAACAATAAACATACCAAAAACCTTAGTGCCATTCTCGGACCCAAATCATCGATGTCCTCGGCAGAATGTGTCACTCATTCAACAAAACCTTAAACCCTTTTCACTGAGTCAGACACAATCTGTCCTTCCCTAAAATACTCTAAACACATTCTCAAACACTAAAACACAAAAAAGCAAACCACAAAGATAGAATTGGAGGAAAACTACAACACAGATGTCTGATCTTAAGCAGTTCTCTGATGTAATTTAATCAATATATGCCAGTTCGAAGGATGTCTGAGGTTGATTCCAGCAATGGATGGAAACGCTGAGAGGCAGTGAAGTAATCGGAAGGGCAATCTGTGACACGGCATATTTGTTTACATGGACTCACAATGACAAGAAACAAAAGAAATGACCTCGTTCCACGTTTCTATAACAACAACATAAGGTTTACTTGATTCATGCTTCTTATAACCATGTTGGGGTAATGTGGAACTGACCACTTATAAAGTCTTATGAGCTATTCAATACAAGCAAATGTAAGTGTACAAAGATTTAGTATACATTCCTTCCACTTATCCAGTTCAGGGTGACAGTGGGGCTGAACACTGTTTGTTTCATATCTGAATGAGTGAATTAGGACAAAGAAGTAGGAAGATCGACTGCAGCCACAATCTCAGGTCTTTACTGTATCCTGATATTTCATTTCATCTCATCAGTAAAACTGTAAAACTGGAGCACAACTGGAAATACACACTACATTTTTTATGAATGGTGCAACAAATCTTCACTGGTTCTAGGTGTTATCTGAATGATCATCTGTTATTTTGAGTGGAGGTTTAACAGTTTGGATGTGTTTGTGAGGTTTTACCTGAGAAGTCTTGGCTCTTTTGTGTACACAGCTTTGAACCTGAGACAGTTAAATCCTCAAAGGATTTCCCTAAAAGTTAAAAAACTAAATCTCATCTTCTGAGCCAAACACAGTGTGCTGATTAGTCCATCATGCTTTTTTGCACATGAATGTGGGAGGACTTTTGTAGTTAATCCTCAGTAGAGTAGTTTAAAAACATTTGTTTCAAAGTGAATGTGATAAATTGTTGTAGGTGTGGGGGAAAAAGATGCTCAGAAGCATCTCTAAAACATGAACGTTCATTCCATCAAACTGTACACTTCATCCTCCAGCAGTGAGTTTCTCTTGCATACCTACAGTTTGTCTCTTTTGAAACAGCACTGCCTGGTGGCCACATGCACACCCTGCTATGCTCCCTGCCATCTAAACTCCCTGGCAGGAGGCTTCCTGTCAGCCTGCTGCTGCTGTGCCCACCTGGTCTTCTGTGAGCCGTCTAGACGGGGCGTTGATGCCAAGCTCCTCCAGCGGGTAGATGATCTGGCGTCGTGGGCAGACGGGGACGGCGCAGTTGAGGACATAATGCAGATGGTGGACGCAGGAATTCTGAGTGCAGAGAGAGAGGGCACGGAGTCAGTGAGCACAGAAAGGGAAAATCCCATCGGAGGTTAAACAGCAATCAGTTTGGGGCTTTTTTGGGGGGGGGTGCAACTGGAAAGCTACGTGGTGATAACGAGCTCGGGTGAAGAGTTAGATGATACAAGCGTTACACCACTGACACACGCTGCCCAAGCACAGCTTAAACCCCTCTGCTTATCTTCTGCCATTATTCCATTTTCACATCACGATCACCCAATCTGGTGCTTGTTTGTGGAAGTTAATTAGCAGAGGAAGTGGAAGGTCTCTACATGTTGAGGAAATTTCTTATTATGGCGTGGAGAGGTTGAGCTGGCAGCGCTGTCGACACCTGCTGCCCCGACCTCGGGGACCGGCAGCCTGCTGTAAAAAATGACCTGCTGACAGGCGCAACACGACCACAAACCTGTCTCTCTGATCAAGTTAGACGGCCACGAGCACAATTCCATATCCAACCTGTTCTCTCCATAAATAAAAGTTTGCTGAATTAGAGGAAACCATTAAATGAATAAAACTCAGTATAAAAACATTTGGTTTTATTTATGTTTTTACGGGGTTGTGAAAAAATTCTCCTGGCTTTCAACAGCTTATTTTCCCTTCCTGCTGCAGGGATGATCTAATCTAATTCTGCCTTTATTCAGGGTTTCTGTGACTTAAGTCAAAGTAATCAGTGATAATCCAACACAGAACTAATACAAACTGAATTACTTAACGAATTACTTAACGAATTTATTAGACCACCTGTCATAAAAAGAGGAAGGCAAATGTTTTGAAAATCCATTAACAACAGAGAGTACTCAGCCAATGATTATGTCCTACTGTACATTTGCACTGTTTTTTTGCACTATTTGCACTATAGTGTTTTCCAAAGTGATTCATGATCAGAACGTAAAACACATTTACATGTACAGATTCATTCCAAAGGGCTCTCATGCCTCAGAACGCATAACAAACCGACATACCGTAACATAGCGTCGGTATGTTACGTGATGGGATGAGGACATGTTGCGTGGGTCATATATAGCCTACTTCGATCTTAAGTGGGTTGAACCTGTGAAACTACATGGTAAATGTGCAAAATTGAGAAAAAGTTCTAGTAGTTCAAAGTGTAAAGTTTTTATTAATTTACACAAAATGTTGTATCTTTCTTTTGTTTTTTGTTAATGTGGACTTACTGTAAAAAAAACAGACATTTCCTTAGCATTTACTGAAAAAACAGGAACTTTCCTCTGCAGAGTATGAATGAAACTGGGGAGGTGGTCTTTAAAAGCTGGCTTATGAAAACACGGTTGAAACTTAAAAATCTATATGCACTCCTTTTCCAAAGCCAACCTGTGGGCCGGACTCCCAGGCCAAATCTGGCCTCTGGGCCTTATGTTTTACACATCTCATCTAGACTGATTGTGTACCTTTACTGACTACCTGTACATGCACTATCTTGCTACCTAGACTGAGGTTTTATAGTCACATGATCTGTGTAAAATGGATTTGTCTTTTTTTTTTTAACACTTTTTACAGCGTGCACTCGTTAGTTTGTTACACTAATGAGCAGCCTTGCACCCCAGCTGGAAGTGGCCCAGTGGTTAAGGGCTAAGCAAGGACCTGGAAGCCCCGTGCACTCACCTCCTGGCTGTGGTAGGGGGGGTAGATTCGGAGGTACAGGCAGGATTTGCGAGCCTGCCGGAGGACCTCCTTAAAGAAGTTCTTGGAGAAGTGTTGGATGGTGGTTTTGAGGACGAAGTGGAGTATCTGAGCGTGCTCATCGTAGCCATGGTGGCTAAAGTAGATGAAGCTCTCGATGTTGTAGTGAGCACGGATGTACTCGATGTCCTGACAAAGACACAGATTCATGTGAGCTTGACGACAGAGGAACAAATTTCAGGAGTAATATTTTAGGTTTTTCTCCTTTTACATTGTACATTTTGCTTATTGCAGTTCTTTTGCCTTTGTTGCCTATTACTGTGTTATTAGACCATGAAGTATTGGTATGCCATGTCATATAATAGCTACATTATTAAGAATTAATTAAAGCTCTTAATATAACTTTAATTAATTTTATTTGTACATTGTCTTTTTATTTATTGTTTATTTTATCTTATTTCAAATTAGTATTTTATTTAATAGAATATTTTCTTAATTATTTATATTGTTTAATTGTTTTTACTGTTGTTGTTGAAGGTTGGCTTTTTGTTTTTGCAAGTATCCCATGTCCACAATGTGTCCTAATTGGCCATTTAGCATTAAAAATTATAAATAAAAACAAATAAAAGCGGCAGATCGATGGAGCATAAAAATGAACATGAAGCACAATTCCTAACGGAAAAAAAAATTCCAGACTTTAATCATATAAAGCGCAGCTCTTTAGTCAGAGAAGAAGTGAAAAGCCAGGCTAGTGTTTAAAACAGCTCGCTGGCAACTCCATTTACCTTTTATTAGAAATCTTTTTACTCCTTTAAGGCAGAATGGGGGTTTAAATGGTCAAACACTTCACACTTTTACTAATAAACCAGATTTCTAGTACCTGCTCGTCCTTGATGATGACAATCCCAACTAACTCTGCTTCTGCCTGGGCGACGAAGGCCTGCAGTGGAACGGCATCCTGAGGAACAAGTGAACCAAACAAAAACACGTCAAATTTCCGTGATTCCACTGAACTACACACGAGCAGAGTGCACTTTACTTGTAGCTGAGACCAGTGCCATGAATACACATGAAGTGGCTGCATTCTCATTTGAGAAGTAATTATCAGTGTTGGAGCTGCGGCAGTGACAGCTGGGGTGTCAGTCAGAGAGGAAAATCCGTTCAGCTGAATTCTCACCAATCTGTTCCCTGGCACAAGAGCCAATATTCCTCGTTATTCCAAGACAATCATCACACCGCTCCAGTTACACTCGACAGTCCAAATTAATCACCATCTCATTTTTTAAAGTTAAGGGGAGCAAAAAGAGTCTTACCCGCCTTAAATTTACTATATTAACCCTTTGTTGTTGTCTCTGGGTTTGGAGTTCTGTTTGACTTTGTTTATCTCATGATGTGTTTCAGATTTTATGATATTGTTTTTTTAACTCTTGGTTTTTGTGTTGGTGCGCAGGGCGGAGTTTTCTGCCTGCCTGCCTCCACCTGTATTACCTCCTGTTTGCTCCTCTTACCTGTTTCCTCCTATCTGCCAACATTCCCTGTCTAACATCCATGTTTCCTAAATTTTGGAACTGCGGTCAAGTTAGTCAAGTTAGTTTAAGAAAGGTTTGGAATGAATGAAATGACCCTGAAGTATCTGCATGGCAGCTGTAATAAGAGCTGTCTGACTTCTTTAAACAGTAAGCAAAGGTGCTTTTATGCTTCCTTTAGCAGAGGACACACTGGAGCATCTTTAACGAAAGGAAAGCAGATACTACTGCTTCAGGATCATCATTAATTAGTTTTACTTCAGAGAGTTACACAAAGGCTGAAGAAAATCAGGAGTTACAAACATAATAAGCTAATCTCAGAGTCACAAAATTTTTTCTTTGATTTCACAGATGAGATTAAGTAGATGTTCCTCTTTGCTTAAAATACAACCTTGATATTAAAGTGATTTTCATATCCAGTTTTGTCAAAGTCTTATTTAAACAGAACTTGTTACGAGTTGTTTCAACTTGTAGTTGAAACTCATTTTCTGCAGATATATCTGAATGTGTGAGTCTTTGTCTGATCTAAAGCACAGCTGAGGTCTGTCTTTGTGAATCTGACTGCAGGTGTGTTAATAACAGTGTTTGTTGGCTGACCTGATCACAGCCAGTCTCGTAGTAGCGGTCCAGGTCCTGCAGCAAAGACTCATTCAGACTCAGATCCTTCACCAGAGCAGAGACAGCAGAGCGGTCCAGAGCCACGGCTGGCCTCACGCTCAAAGACCTGTGGGGAAAAAACACTTAAAGAGTCTGTGGAAATGCTTTGTATAGTGCTCTGAGACTTCATAAATGATTTCATTGTATAATCACTATAAATGACTGAACAGTTCATGCTCTGTATCGATGCTGTTTTAAAGAATGTGTTGATCTCTTGGGCTCAGCACTGCAGGAGTACATGGATGATTTTTCAAATTTCACTAAACATACTCAGCCACTTTATTAGGTACAGAAGTTCAACTTTACACTAACCAAAGTATCTAACGAGCCAATAACACGGCAGTAATATGATAGATGTAGGGCTGCAGAAATGATCACGACAACCTTCTGAAGTTCAAAAAGAGATTCATAATGGAGGAAGAAATGTGGTTAAGTCACTGAATGTGACATGGCTGTTGTGTCAGACAGCCTGGTCTGAGTATTTCAGAAACTGCTGATTTAGTAGGGGTCTTCCCACACAACCATTTCTAGGGTTTGGAGAAAATATCAGAAAAAGAGAAAATATACAGTGAACTTCAGTTTTCTGAGTTAAACTGTCTTGTGGCTGTCAGATGTCAGACTGGCCAGACTGCTTCGAACTGATTGGAAGGCAACAGTAATTTAATACAATGAGTTCAAATCAATACAAATAACCACTCAATACAACGAAGGTATGCAGCACAGCGTCTCTGAATGCAAAACATGTTGAACCTTGAAGCAGAAGACCACACCAGTGGATATTAGAGGAAATGTAAATGTTAAAAGTGACAGAGTCATTAGGTTCAAATACACTATCGGTGTTGTTCATTTGTGATTTTGGGAAACAAACAAAACTTGAGCTGTGAGATTTACCTGATTCCATCGCGGTGAAAGATATAGAGCTCATGTTGCGGCAAGCTGGTGGGAATTGACGGCACCCTGATAAAGTTCTGCAACAGGGGGAACTCAGTGGACAGATTTGGAACTGTGATAACGCAGAAGTTCTGGTCCTGCACAAACAAAGATAACACACATCAACAACTGAACAATAATCCATATATGGACAAAAATACTGGGCCACCTACAAATTACACCAACAGGAGCTGCACGGCCATGCTCGGCATGAAGCTCCTGGGGTGCAGTTTTGTGCTGATGTTAATGCCAGAGAAGGTTTGGGATGCAGTGCATTGGTGACTTTTATGCAATATACAGCTCAGCGCTGTAACTTTAGATGGTCCTCCACTTTGTCACTGAGTGGCTGTGGTTTCTAAACCGTTCGACTTTGCAATAATGCCACTTACAGCTGATCGTGTAAAATCTAGGAGAGAAGAAATTCCATGAACTGATTTGTTTCAATGGACACATCCTGTTACAGTGCCTGTCCAACTGTGGAGCACCTATCAGAGCCATGCAGTGATTTCTGTTTGTTTTAGGAACGTAATACAATTTTTATTTATATACAGTTTTTAATGATCAAAAACCCCAAATCAAATTGATTCTTCTTCTCTCTCCAGGCCTAGCCTTCAAAACAGCACAACTTCAAGGCAGGTTGTACTGAGCAGCCTTGCGATTTTGGTCTTCTGTTCGGAACAGACCATCTAAGAAATTTGTACTTCGCTTTGTTGAGTGAAATTCTAGTATTTTACTAGCTTGTTTCTAATTAGTACTTATTAGCAGTGCCTGTGGGTTGGACCCATACGGTTTATGGAAGCTGACAAGTAGTGTTAGCGCATAACTGAGGGTTAGCTGGTTACTGGCTGTGGCCAAAATGCTAATGCTAAGTTAGTTGCTACATTTGGTATAGCCACCTCTTAAGTAAGTAAGTGTGGGTGGCTCGGAGTTATTGACTAGGAGACTTCCAGACAAAGTTTCTCTGATTACCAAGTGTAGTTGTTCCCTGCCCTTTTTTCTTGTTTTTCCACATCATCAATTAAAAATCAACTGAAAAATTGCTAAAATAAAATAAAAAAAAATTTCAAAAATAAATAACTAAACATCTTAATTGCCTGAAACTTTTGGAAAGTTAATTCTCACTTGTTAAAAAAAAGCTTTAATGTACTTTAAAAAAAAACAAAACATTTTCAGGCATGTGAACCACTCTCAGGTCTAGAGAAAAACCAGGGGTCACTGACATAACGTAGAGAACATCTGACAGAGCTTTAAACTTGCAAAGATGATACTCACGGGGAAAACCTGGAACAGAAAAGGAATAAAGTCCGCTGATCTGGAAGAGAAGAGGAAGAGGAAGTTAAGTGTAACTACGAGTCTGTGCCAAACTGGTGATCACTGTGGTGGAACAACTGTCCGACCAATCTGCCCGCTGCTTCCAGCTCGACTTCTCGCCTTCAGCTCTCTGTCACTTTAAGCGTTGCTCTCATTAATAACGTGCTCACTCTCGGCAGGAAGCGACTCGACTCCATATTCAGTAACAGCTGGGAGGTAAGGCGGCGGTGAGGGGGGCTCAGCGGGAGCCAACTAACAGTCACTCTCCCTGCTTTAACGCGGCATATGACTGATGTAGCTCTGGACGGCTGCCACCAGCGCTGCCGAGTCACAGCCTCCAAAAAGTGAGAAACATATTTTAATTAAAACATGTAATATTTCTGAATATTTTCCCCATTTTTAAACGGTGATATCTGACAGTCGACATCTGTGAATTTTGCAGAAGTTGCCTCATACCTTTTAATAACTTTAGCTGCTGTGTTTACTTTACTTTTCCATGGCCTGCACATCACTTACATAGCCAATATTCTTTACTAAACATTTTATTATATCTGGATTATGACTTAAAGTGTTTTTATACTACAATTTCAGGTATTTACTTAAAATGTACATAAATTTCGATGCTTATGATGAAAGCAAACACAAAAGGAATCGCAGTGACACAAAATGTCTAAAATCCAAAAATGAACACAAGAAAATCAGAAAACAGTGTTGGGAAAAATAAAGCAGGCAACACAACAAGCAGGGAGGATAACATATGTAAATTAAATAAGTCAGTATAATAATTTATTTATAAAGTATGGCTTTCACATACCAAAGTGCTGTACAGGGTATGTATATCTATATGCACATGCACACATGCATACATGTAATTACAATACATATAAAAGACTAATTAGGTCCACATCATGTGGATGTCTATGACAGGTGCAGGAAATTGACATAGTTTATAAATGTAATATGTTTTTATTTACCAATATCAACATTGTTGTTATCAATATGATACATATGAATATGGATTATGTATAAACAAACACAATTTGTTATGTGTTAGCCTATCGATGTAGTCAGTGCATGTGGGTTTTTAAAAATATTTTTTTTTTTTACATTTGCCTGTTTTTTAATTGATCAACTTATTTGTTTGTAACCAGGTTAAAATGGTAATTTATTCAAATGAAATAATGAAATTGTTGAAATCCATGTTCAAAGGTGAAATTTACAGAAGAGGATTAGGGGCAGTGGGGGAAAAAAGAAGTTGGCACGTAATTCTGAGATTAAAGTTAACCTCAGAATTCTGATTTTTCTGAGAAAAATAATTCTGAGGAAAAAGTCAGAATCCTGACTTCAATCTCAGAATTCTGAGTGGGCACCTGTTTTTTTCCTTCTTTTCCAGAATTCCGAGAAAAAAGTCAGAATTCTGAGAAAAATTCAGAATTCTAAGATTAAACTCAGAATTCTGACTTTTTTGTTCTCAGAATTCTAAGATTTATGTCAGAGTTCTGACTTTAATCTCAGAATTCTGAGTGGGCATATGTTTTTTTTCTTTTTTTCCAGAACTCACTCTGAGAAAAAAGTCAGAATTTTGAGATAAAGTCAGAATTGTGAGGAAAATTCCAAATTCTGAGATTAATCTCAGAATTCTGATTTTTTTTCCTCAGCATTATTTTTTCTCAGAATTCTGACTTAAATCTCAGAATTTATCAGATTCTGAGTGGGGACATGTTTTTTTTTCTTTTCCAGGATTCTGAGAAAAATTTTTTCAGAAGAAACAGTCAGAATTCTGAGATTTAAAAGAGCAGTCCCGCATTTTATTGTGAAGAACTAAGGATTTTAAGAGGAAGTGAATTTGGCTGTGATCGGTAGCAGGACTGAGAGACGTTGCAAGGGGAAGAAGTTTGTGCCAGTGCGTACTGGTCTATATGCTCAACTGTATTTGTCTATGCGCACATTTTGCAAACTGTGACAAGCTGAGGACATTTCTGCTCCAAATCTACCAGGGATTCCTACTCTGCATTCCTTTACACTTAACTGTTTCTGTACAGTGAACATGCTCTCCACCTTCTGAAAACATGGGACTACAGAGCCTATAGAAGCATTATAAAAACAAAGTTGTCCACAACAACTGCATATGGCCCGTACACAGAGGTCCTACAGATGTCAACACTAGACATTCAGTAGGTGTAAAAAAAAAAAAAAAAAAAGAGGTCAGCTTGCATTACAAAACAACCCCTTCAGTGGACCAAAATTTTATGTCCAAGAATCCAATCCAACTTTATTTATAGAGCACTTTAAAAACAACATGGTTGACCAAAGTGTGTTCCAGTAAAAAACTGTGATAAAAGTTAAGTTAAACCATACATTAAACAGACAAAGAAAATTAAATAGCAATAAAATAAATAAATACATGAAAAAAAGATAAAAAATGAATCAGTAAATATTAAAACATGATTAAAATAGACAATAAAGTATAAAATAAATAAAATTAACAAAGTAAAAAAGATCAAAAGCAACCAAAAACTGACTAAAACTGACTACAAGCTGACTCTGGTCCTACCCCCAAAAAACGCCTTGGAAAAAAGGTTTGTTTTTAAAAGTCATTTGAAAATTTCAAGTGTTGGGGCCAGCCTAATATATGGAGGGGCAACTTATTCCATAATTTGGGGGCCACAACAGCGAAAGTTCTGTCCCCCCAGTTTTTCAGTCTTGACATGGGGAAACAAGGAGTGACTGGTCAGTTCATCTGAGAGACCTTTGTGCACTGTATAGCTGTAGCAGCCCTGCCAGGTAGGCAGGCCTGGCCATTTAAAACTTTAAAAGCAATCAATAAAATTAAAAAAATATTCTAATAGACAGACCCGTGTAAAGAGGGAAGAACGGGGGGTAATGTACTCATGTTTGCGTGTACATTTTAAAGTTATAAACAGGTAAACCATGTGACAAAACTGGATCCAGAGTGTGTCCATGTTTATGTGTGGGACCAGTCGCAAACATTAAAAGCATCAAGTAAAAAAGTCCTTTGCCAGTGGTTTAGTAGAATGTCTTATAAAAGAATTAACTCTGACGGCACTTTTTTGTGACAACAGTACAAATGGAAATGCTCAACTTTAAGTAGGGCTGGGTGATGGAAGAAAACCTATATATCACAATAATTTTTTTTTGTTGTTATATTGCAACACTCGATATATATGGTGATATGGCTTGTCTCTTTGTTTTGCAAATTACCGCATTTTGTTCGACATCCTCCCAATATCGCCATATTTTTCCCTATCTGGTAGTATTTAACCCCTTAGCAGTCCTATTAGTCCCCTAAACCATCCAATGTCCCGTGGGCGGTACGTCCGACTGCTAACAGTATAAACCATACAAACACGCATGCTCAGCGCACTGTGCTGGATAGAAAATGTTGCATTTGAATCGTGTGGGAGGAAAAAAGGTCATCTGTGATGGTGATAAGGAAGTGGATCGCTTAATCACAACGTTTTTAAGTGTTTTTAAAGATTAGTTCTGAAGGCTTTGTGCCTTCATTGAAAAGAGCCAGCACAGGGAAATGGGGCACTTTCCTGGAGAGGAAGAAGGGGAATGAGGTGAGGATTCAAACGCAACTCAGCCACACTGATGTGGAGCTCAGAGTAATGATGTAATACATCAGGTTTTAGATACACGCAGGACACTTATCTGAAGTATTTGCTGTCGGTTTTAAGGTTTTAAATGTCAGCTTTATTCTGAAAGCTTACCTCAGTTCATAATTCTTGTCAATAACAAAGATCTGAATACAGAAGGTGTTGGATTTTTCTGAAGCTGGCTGAGCCTCCTCCTGCTGAGATGTGTGACAACAAACACAAACAGACTTCAGACTGTACAGTACGACTGTGTTCATCTGTTCTTAAATTATCTGAGCAATAAAAATAAAAAAGGAAGGATTAGATAGACAAACAGAGAAGGGTGCTGCTTTCATTTCATCTTAATTTCCACATCTTTATATTGTTTTGAGCAGTGATCACATTTTGCTGTCCAACATCTTAGGAGTGTTTTGGAGCAATAAGAAAAGTTGAATCATTTCTCAGATATGAGATAGGTTTGGTTTATTTACCTGCTCTGCAGCCCGCCTATGTTCATCTTCATCAGACTGAGCAGGAACTTTATGATCTTTTGTTTTCTGCTCTCTGATCAAACCGTCAAACTCACTCAGTTCAAATCTGCCAAGGAGCCACTTCAGGTTGACATCAGCACTGGCACAGATGAAGCCAACAGCGACTCCATTAATCTACAGAAGAAACACATGCTTTATGATCATACTAATGTAGCACTACATTATTTTTCTCTCAGTGGTTTATCACTTCCTGTTTTATTCTGGTTTCCTGGCTTCCTCTGTTTTTCCTCCTTTTTTTCTTGCCAACACAAAAGTCTGCGTCTGAGGCTTGATTTACCTTTATCAAATGACCGCAAGAATGCTCAGTCTTACATTTAATAAGATAACACAGACTCATAGCTTAAGCTTTCTGTCTTGACCCCAAAGACCAGTTGTGAGCCAGGAGAAACCCTGATGTGTGTAGATAATCTCTAGAAAGTGCTGCCCAGAAGCAGAAATTTCATCAGGTTTTTATATTGTTTTACTTGTGTTCCTGAATGCATTCACCAGGCGCTCAATAAATGAGACGTGCTTCATATTTAGGTTTAGAAATAATTCTGAGGTTCCTGACTTTACAAATAGCATCTGAAAAAACACCTAAAACTTCACTGAATAGCCACTTTCACATTTCCTGTTCTCAACTTCAACAGGACTAAAAATAGATGGCATTTCATCTGCATCAGCTACCGAGTTTGTCTTGCTGGTTTTGGTTGCTGATCATAAGTAGACAAGCTTTTATCACTAACAGACCATCTGATCAGGACGTAAGCTGGAAATAACTGAACGACACATTCTGGCGTGCGGTGGACTGAAGAGAAAAAACCCTCTGGGACAATGTTGGATTGCGCTGAACATAATCAGACAAAAAGCCCAAAATGCTTCAGATGTCTGGACACAATATGTTCAGTGAGAGCATGCTTTGGCTGGGTATCAGCTCGTATCTGCCATATGCTGCCACAAACACATGTCGGCCCAACGGGCGGGGAGGGGAGAGGAGGATCTGTCGTCTCCCAAGTCCCGAGGGAATGAACCCTAGCGGGGTTTCTGATAGTCACTCGTCATCACAAAGCTGCTATTACAATATTTTTAGACACACATGAAACACATGAGACGCTTAGAACCACACACACGGG